TATATACTATATACTATATGTTATATATTATATATTATATACTATATGTTATATACTATATACTATATATTATATACTATATGTTATATGTTAAATAATTAATTTTATTATTTTTTAGAAAACTTATTAAACAAATACGTTGTTTAAATATTTTTTATAGAAAACGTATTAAACAAATCCGTTTTGTAAATATTTATTTTTTAAAAAACGTATTCACTAAATACGTTTTCACCTGATATATAAAAAAAACTTGTTATTTCTATTGTTTAACCATTTAAAACCTGTTACAGATATTAAGAACAACCAACTATATCAAAAATACACAAACAAATCAACCCATTTACGGTCCAACATAACAAAAATATTTCATTCAAACATAGTCCAACAAATAAAAGTAAACAATAAAAAAAATAGTCCAACATAAAAAAAATAAACACTAACAAATCTAGTTTCCCCACTCATTACGGAGTCTAGATCTATCAGTGCGAGGATGCGAGGACGGACAGTCATCCACAAAATGCTGTGGATTACACATCTACTACACTGTCCTCTATCATTTCGGCGGCGTGCCCGACGATCCGTTTGCATTCGATGACGCTTCGTTTGCGCGCGACCGGGTCCAGCCTTTGTGATGATCCTCTCCCAATGTGGCAGTAAGTTCCATCCGACCAGCGGTCATGTGTCCGGATCACCAATCGGAGCAAAACTCCAATTAGAAAATTGAGCCACCCAGTTCTCCGTCCAAAAGTGGAGATCGTACAAGAACTTTGGTTGAGCTTTTATTTCACGACACACAGCTATAGCATGAGAGCATGGTTTCCTGTGTGTCTGCCACTTCAGACAACTACAACGTATCCGGTCGTACGAAACCTTATACCTATTTTTCCACATTTAATTATATTTATAAACAACTAAAAATTTTAATGAACCAAGATAAAAAAAAATAAAAATTATACAATAAATAAATAAACCATATACCTTTTGTCCCCTCTACCATCAACCCGTAAACCGGTTGTCACCTTGAACAGGGATCTCTCTGCGTTCGAACATCGCACCTTATGAGTTGCGGCCGTAGTCTCCAATTCGCAATAAGCGGCATAGTGGGCACTAGCAATGGGATTACTGCAACTCGTGGACTTCTTTTGTTCCTGCTTAAACAAGTCCAGAGTTTTCATGAATGTGGCATGTACCAAAGCTCGGCAGGGCAAGAACCTAACACCTTTCAGGACGTTGTTGTAACTCTCGGACATGTTTGTAGTCAAAGTACCCCATCTACGTCCTCTGTCTCCAAACAGGGCCCACCTGTCCAGAGGAATTCTGAACAGATAATCGTATGCGTCCGAATTAAAATTCAAAAGCCGCGATCGAATCTGTTCAAATTTTTTCTCTGAAACCTGTGAACCCAACTCCCAACACCAATTTCGGATTTTGTTAATCCTGAACCTAGTAACGGCGTTGCTCCAAAGGTGTCGAAGACAAATCCGGTGATATGCAGCGGGTTCTTGCCAAGCTTGCAACGATTCCACGGCACTCTGTAAGCCTGCATCCATGTCCGAAAGAAAGCATATCTGTCTGTCGCCGACAACATGTTGCCGGAGATTTGTCAGGAAAAATGACCAGCTTTCCTGGCTCTCTTCATCCACAATCGCATAGGCGATTGACAATAGCCGCTTATTCGCAGTCTGTGCAACGGCCACAAGCAACTTCTCCTTGTACGAGCCACGCAAATGTGTGCCGTCCATGCTAATTACCGGCGGGCATCTCTGAAAGGTCTGAATGGCGGGACCAAACGCCCAGAAAACAAATTTGAATTCTCTGTGCTGATAGTGGGCCGCCATTTCCTCTCCTTGCCATTACCACTCTACAACCGTAGTGGGATTCGCTCTTTGAAGCGCTGCAAAAAACCTGCACTTTACAAAACGTAATCGTCAATACATAAACATAATGACAAAGTAACACGTACATTTTTAATAATTTTTTTTCTTACTGAGGGAGTTGTGCGAAGTTCGATTCCCAAGTGCATACAAACGATCGATGGCCTTTTTCCTCCCGTGCCATGCCTTCTTGTAGCTCAAATTGACTTTCCAACATTTTTTAACATCCTCCTGAATCAGGGTAACACTGTAGTCGGGTTTCTTTTGAATCTTGGTCATGACAAGATTTGAAATCATTGTGGCGGTTACATTTCTGTGGTCATTTTTTTCGACTTCTTGCATACAACTGTGCCTCTCAGTCCATTCTCTTACTTCCCACAGTTCATGAACCCGTATGCAGTGCGTCACCCGAGCCATCCACGGACAAGATTCATCTTCGTCAGATGTGCACACCACCTTGAATGTTTTCTTATTCGAATAGGTTGTCTTAACCTCCCTCAACCTACTAACGTTCCAACTCATGATACCCAGCTGTGCTTCTTCCTTGGACCGGAAAACAGTACCCAAACGGATAGTATCGACATGCCCATCCCACATTGGCAAGGCATACTCATCACGATCTACACACGACGGGTCCCACTCACCCATCTCGCGATACACGTGCTGACCGGTACTAGGAAATGGGTGTTCTTCAATAAATTTTGGTTCACTCTCCTCGTTTATTGATCTATCTGTTTCCGTTTCCGAGGTATCATCTGTGAAATCGTCTTCACCGCGAACGAAATCATCATCACCCTCATTATCGCATTCTCTAACTGTTGAGCTTGTCCCTTCGCCAAAATTACGAACATGCGAAGTGGACGTATCCTCAACATCAGCCACTCCCCCGTAAAAAGGGGCAACATCCTCAAACTGCGTAACCTCTGTAGGTGCCTGCGTAACCTGCTTCAACTCTAAATGCAAATACACATAGGAGAAAGGAGTGAAATAATATATCCACTCAAGAGCACTATCAGTATTCAGGTTTCCAATATTCCACGAACCATCGCGTTGGTTAGTCAGTAAACTAATCTCCTCATTATCCAACCATCTCGATGAAACCCAAAATTTTCATAAAGAATATCTACCAATTGTTTAAATGATATCTTCTCCCCAATGCTAAATGAACCATCCGGAGAGTTTTTAAAATCTGAAAAATCATATAACAACTCCTTGGGAAAATTTCAATACACATTAACAAAGTATGGTCCGGTAGACGCCATTTATACCTGTTGCAAAAAACAATTCTTCTCAATTACAACAACACATACTTTCTAACCCAACACCCAAAAAATTCAATTATTCTTTTATCATTCACACAACAAAAAAATAAAATTCATCAATAACATATAAACACTTTCAATTCTTCCCAATTACAACATCACATAATTTCTCAAAAAATTCAATTATTCTTTTACTCAATTCAAGATAAGTATTTCCAATTAATACTACAATAACAAAAAAAAATCAAATGTTCTTTTATAAAATAACTCTCCAAACCCTAATTCTCATAATCCAACAATACAATACAAATCATCTAATTTTCGCAAAAATTCTCAACATACACCGAAACCCATCATCAAAGAACAATGTATAATCATTTAACACAACTATTAAATCAACAATAAATCTTTTCTAAACTATACTCATCAAAAACCAACAAATATTTCTTACAAATTCATAAACAAAAAAAAATATGTAATTACATTACATTAAAATAACAACTAACCTCTTCTCCGAATCGATTGATTGTTAAAAGCTTTTTTTTTTTTTTATTTTTTTTTTATTTTGAGGTGAAGAGAAAATGGAAGGAAGTGATTTTTTTTTTCCTCGCAGCTTCAGTCTTCTCGCAAAATGGTGGAGGAGACCCGATTTTTTTTTACTTATATTTTGTTAAAAACCGTATTTTATAAATACGTNNNCNA